GGTTACCTCAACCGCCTTTGAGTTTTTGAAAGTACTTGTAATCTGTTTATATTGATCCGAGAAGATCGAATATATTTGTAATCTGAGAACAGAAGCTAATTAATTGAATTGAGATGAATTATTATTCACGTTGAATGAATAATACTCGCGAGACTTTATATTAATTGTAATGTTTGATAATGAACACGTGAGAAGCACTATGTTCTATGATTTCACTATAAATTAAATTATATTCTGAAACTTACTTAATTGGAATCTAATTAATTATTATTATTGCAGCAAACATTGAAAATGAAAATGATATTACTCATTGATGATGAAATACCGAGTTTTTTTTGCACGTTGTGTAAATTAAAACAATGGCCGCGACGCCACGACAAAGTACCGCGTCGTAAGCACTAAAGATGCTTATTTTATTTCGATGAATTTATTTTTATGTTATGATAAGTTAAAAAACACGAGTTGAATTAAAATTGAATAATTAATTTAATATTAATTTGAATGTATTATTATGTCATTTAGTCACAAACGGAAAAGCACTGAATAGCGATGCAATTATTAGCGAGGCTAGCGGGTATATTGTGTAGGTTACAGGTCCCAAACACAACTGAGATATGCACATGGCGTCAAGTGCCTCGTGCTTTGTGCCGGCCGGGCTTCTTCCCGCTAGCTCATGGTGCGCAGGTGCAGCAGCCATTACCAATGCGTCATTGGACATGTTCGTAAAGAACAGTCATAGAAATGACTCTTATTGAGTCTCGAGTATAGTAAGAGTTTTAATATAATAAAGAGTCGGGGTGACCAACTCCCTTTGGTACAATTAAGAGAATCAGGGTGACCAATTCTCTTTTGCCTTGGCGGCAAAACAAGGATTCCCCCCTCCCTTAAAGGGAAAACACACACACACACACATACAGACAGACATACAGACACCACCGCGGGGGTAGTCAGGGAAGCTTGCTATGACCTTGAAACGTCGAGATCTGATAAAAACTCGATTTTTGCAAAACGGGGTGAAAACAATAACTTCTCGATTTTTGAAAATCTGAGATTTTTAGCGGGAAGTTAAAAATAGAAAAACGGTAGACCCTGAAGGCCATCCGTGCATCTTTCCGCTCATTTCATACCTAGGTGCTTAGAATTGCCCTAATGATGTTTTTGAGCTCTCCGAGCTTAAAAACACCATTTATGTGTTATTTTGAGCTCTCTGAGCTTAAAGAGATAACTTTTTTATGCTTTTGAGCTCTTCGAGTTTAAAAGTCTGATAGAAGTTTGATAAAACACAATTATTCACATTTTTAAACCGCAATAACCCGATTTTTACGTGGTTGGCGGCGATCGACGCAGTTTTTTAAGCTCTAAAAATAATTCTATTTCATCAAAAACGATTCAATAAGAATTGTTGAAGTTGATAAAAATACTTTTTTTGGTTTTCTTTCGGTCACGATATCCCTCGAACGAAACAACCGATTTTGACCAGATTAGTGGTGATCGACGTGATTGTTCAAGGTTACAGGCGGATTAGTTTTTAGAGTTGATCGATCGAACCGTTTAAAAGTTATTAAAAAAAAACCACTTTCAAAAATGATTTTTTTCTTATTTTTTTTGAGATTTTTCAAAATTTCTCAAAATCCATCGGTCCGAATCGGTTCAAATTCTCAGGAAATTTAAGTTCGCGGGAACTCTTTAGAACGCCGTTTGGTTGGTTCCGATCGGTTTAGTCGTTCAAAAGTTATAAGCGATTCACATACTCACACACACACTCACACACATAAACACATACATACATACATAGTGACAATCTCGCGGGGATAATCAGGGAAGCTTCCTGTGTCCTTCAAACGTCGAGATCTGATGAAAACTAGATTTTTGCAAAACGGGGTGGAAACAATAACTTCCCGATTATGGAAAATCTTCGATTTTCTCAGCGGGAAGTTAAAAATATAATTATTAAAAAAGGAAAATATTTTAATCCGTTGACCTTGGAGGCCATCCCTATAATTACCTGTTTCTCTTGAGATTCTATGAAGTTTTATATCTATAGAAAATATATTTGAAGAATATGAATTTTTTGACAACTATCACTCCCGCACTCCTTTGTGAAAGAGAAATTTTGTAAGATCCTATTCGAGATGATTTTTACATTATAAATAAAATATTTCAACAAAACTTCGAGCCCATAGAAACTTTTATTTTGAAAAGAGAAATTTTCATTGTTAACGCCTCTGCAGTCCCTTTTGGGGTTGGAATTTGATAAAATTTATTCTTAGCTGAACTTGACATGATACACGAAGACTCGCACCAAATTTATGTCTGTCGAAGTTACAGTTTAGAAATGAAAATTTTAGATTTTAACACCGACCTCCGCAATTCCTATCGGAAATAAACTTTATTGATATCCATTTTGAGATGATCTTTACAGGAGAAATAGAAGATTTCTACTAAATTTAGAGTTTTCAGAAGCTATATTTTGAAAATGAATATTTTTTATTGTCAACATCCACTCCCGTAATTCTTATTGGAGGTGATTCGTTGTAAAGTCCGTTCTTAGATTATTTCTTAATCACATATAGAAGATTCCTACTAAATTTGAAGTCTATAGGAGCTATAGCTTGAAAATTAAAAATTTTCATTGTTAATACCCATCCCCGCAAACCCCTGTAAGGTAAGCTATCGAAAAATTCGTTCCTATATTATTTCTACATTTCTTACAGAAAATTCCTACCCAATTTGGAGTCTATTGGAGCTATAGTTTAAAAACGGAAATTTTTTTTATTATTAACGCTCCCGCAATCCTCTTTGAGGTAGGATATCGTAAAATTTGTTCATAAATTATTTTTACATCACGTACAGAAATTTCCTAAAACATTCGGAATCTGTAGGAGCTATAGCTTGAAAACTAAAAATTTTCATTTTTTATACCCACTCCCGCAACCCTCTGTGGGGTGTGATATCGTAAAGTTCGTTCATAGATTATTTCTACATCTCTTACAGAAGATTCCTACCAAATTTGGAGTTGATAGGAGTTATAGTTGAAAAATGGAAATTTTTCATTGTTAACGCCCCCGCAACCCCCCTTCTGGGTGGAATTTCGTTAAATCCGTTTTTAGCTGACCTCTACTCGGTAAAAAGAATATTCTTACTAAATTTCAAGTCTCTAGGTCTTATGGCTCCAGAGATATCGTGATGAATGACTATATACGTGGAAATCTCTTATATATATTAATATTAAGAGGTGACTTGTTGTGATTTTTGATTTCTTATTTAAATAACATAAGAATTTTTTTTCTTTGTATGGATTTTTGATGCACTCGAACGAATGAATGTTCTGTAAAAATAAATAGATATTCTTGTAGGAAATTTAACGATCTACAAAAAAGGTTTGAAATGATTTTTCGCTAAGTTAACTCGTTTAAAAGTTATTCGAGGTTAAACTCTAACCTCAAATAGTTTATGATAACTTTTACAATTTCTTATTCTCTATCACAAAATAATGACTCAAAAATATAAAATATCTTAGTTTTCGTAAATTTTATCGAGTTTTTTATTATGATTTAGTAGAGAAAATTTTATGTGATTCATCACGATTCAAATAAAAAGCGTTAAATCGACATTTTGTAACAACTTAGTTGGCAGTACTGTAAAGATTATAAATTTAATTATGTCATATAAATGTTAATTCGTTAATTAAAATCAACTTATCACTTTTTTTGTATTTTACCGTAAAAATCACTGTAGTTTTTTATGGGGTCATCTGAGTGATCCGAACGGAAATGTAGCCAATGTAATAATTGTAAAGAAATTCAAAAAGTAACTTGCTCTCTAACAAGTTATATACATTTAATACTTCATACATAACACTTAATGTATGTCAAATAATAGTAAATTCTATATAATAAAATACACACATTAAAACATTTAGATATCATATTTATGAAAAAAATTAAACTGTAACCCATGAAACATTACAAAAGAACGACAATTGATCTGTCTTCTAAGTCTTCAAAGTGTCATAAGTAAGAAATTAGTTGTCGGTAAGATAAATTTTTTTAGGTAACTGGTGGTGGAGGAAATTTAAATTATATAATCTAAATTCAAACAACCTTTTTATTCTAAATAAGAATAATTATTCTTGAAAATATTTATTGTTTTTATTTATTAAAATATACAAATATTGATTACTAAAATAAAACAAAAAATCGCTTAGCTTATTTAATGGGAAATTATTTATTTGTCTTTATAAAGTGTAAACAATACTTTAGGTAACTTAAGTCAATCTTCTACAACTTTGTTTATACTGTGCGGCATATTGGATTGTTTGATGTGTATGTAATTATTATATTGGAGTATTAGTAAAATTCACTGAGTTAGTTTTTGATTTTTAATTTTTATTATTAAAAATTTTTGCCTTTAATTTAAAAATGAGCTGCAAGCCTATTTTTTTAATTGGTACTCCAAACTCAAACGTCTTTGGCCGTAAATTACCTACGGTTAAAGAGATTATGTCTGTATTTTTTTATAACCATGTTGTATTGAAGGAGACAATTAGAAAAAGTGCGGGGAATACCATAGTTAAAGTTGAGAAGCAATGGCATTCTGCTGGATTGCCTGTTTGTGGAAGAGAAAACGCTGTAAAAAAATTGATAGAATTACATTTTAAGTGGAAAGGTTTACAGAAAAATAAAAGCAAGAAAAATTCACCAGCTCAGATGAAAAATCAGTCTCTTTTTCAAACAAAGTTGGCTGAACTCTTTGATATTACCGATCAGAAAATTCTTCAATCAATAAATTACGATAAAAAGATTTTTTTAGAAGGGCAAAAATCTTCGAATCAAAGAGGAATTATAAATTTAAGTTCACAACCAGACACTGAAGCAGATGTGAAGATAGCCGATGAAATAAGTAAGTATTACATTTTATGAACATGTACCAATTAACATTCATAGTGCTCATAACTCGATATAAATAAATTCCTAATTATCCAATTGTACAATATATAAATTGACGGTCATTAATTTGTAACGGGGTGGTTAACCCTGTTCAATTGGTCACCCGTTTCCTTATGAAAAGGGCGCCACTGGGATTATTTTCGCGGTGTCCCAGAAACCGGAAGAGCAAGAGCAGGAAAGTCGGGTCGTGACAAGTTGAGATAGGCTGAAAATAAATACTGAGGACAATTTTCTCTCTTTAATCAATTTTATTGAACAATAAATAAATCTTAAAATATTACAAATAACCAACTGTTTCACAGTCCAAATCCAATTATAAATTTCCGAGAAACGCTTTCTCAACAGGCACTTGCCAAAAATCCTTATAAACTAAATATCCTTAAATTCTTTTCACCATAGATCATTACGCATCTATCTTCTTAATTTCTGAACTTTATCATAGACCATTACGCATCTATCTTAAATTCCAAATTTAATCTTAGACCATTACGCATCTAGATTCTTAAATTTTAACTCAAATATAGACCATTACGCGTCTATCTTCTATTCCTTAATTACTTGAAACCCTTGTCATTTGGCGGAATAACTGACAATATAAAATTCCCAAATTTCATAAAAAGCTTCCAAATTCATATTCATTCTTAATTCTTATTCATTTATCTAAATCACTACTGAACTAAAATTTCAAATTTTAATCCTATCATAATTCACAATTCTTCAACAAAACTCTTCACGTATTCTGTTTTACTAAATTTAATTACTCATAAATTTCTTATTATCTAAACTCATTTCTTAAATCTTCTTAAATAACCTCTCAACAATTATTCATAAATAAAATCCAATTTTCAGATTTACTAAATTTACTAAATTCACCGAATTACTTTATCGAAATTTTCTAATAAATTATCTTTAAATTCAAGCAATTTCTTAATAAATTCATTATGCACCTTTTCTAAATTAACAATTTAATTACATTATCCACCGGCCTAAATTAAACTTTCCAAAACTTACAATATTATCATAATCTACTTGATTTCACTTCAACACTGATTTACTGCAAATAAATTCAACTACACATTAAATAATCACTAAATTTCTGTACTAGTTCACTTACTAAATTTTCTGCTAATATTTTCAATTAATAAATTTTACTGAACTCGTTACAAAATTTACTAAATTAAATCTTTTCTAAACAAAATTCTAAACATCAACCGTTAATATCTTAGCGTCTCAATACAAAATTTTCAGCTATAGAACATAATAGAATGACCTTCACTGACTTAATTACGCATTTTCCTTTACTATACAAATTCACTTTTCTTTATATCTTGAAATTATTAACTAAATTAATTTATTATAGCCAACAGGCCTATAATAAATTACTGATCCAATTATCTACCGTAAATTCACAAATAATCTATTAATTTCATTCTCTAAAGATAAATATCCAGTAACGAAAACAAACTTAATGACTGTAAAATGCTGAAAGAGCGGAAAAACTAAGGATCAGGTTTCGGTCTGGTTATCTCAATTAAAATACAAAAATTATTATTAAGAATATCACTAGAGATTTATTTACTATAAATATACTCAATATTTAATATATTCAATAGCGGATTGATAAGAAAAAGGCGGATTTATAAAACACAGCGTGGATATCAATGCGAAGCCGGTCAGCACGTGTTTGAGCAAATTGCCGGCACTGTAAAAAGCGGTGAAACAAAAGCAAATAAACACAATTTATCTGAAACAAACTGAAGCGAAATATTAGCGGTTAATTTAAGCAATTTAAATTATAAAAATAGCGAAATGCGTTTAGTTAACGATGAGCGAAATAAAATAGCGGGAAAGCGAAGCGTTAGACTTAATGGCGGAGAAGCGAAAGAGCGACTTCTTCGTACGAAAGATGGATGCGAAAGATTTCTAATAATAATTCGTCTTCTTCCTCGTCTTGGAGAAGAAGGCTACTGCGCATGTCTAACGAGAGCGATAGCCAATCAATAAATTCGTTCTATTGATGTCGACATCGATAGCCAATGGTAAAATTCGATATCTGTGGCGTGATCAGTCAGGCGGTTTTACGCATGCGGGTGAGAAATAGCGGGAACGATGGCTTGTCAGGTGCGTGTTGTAAATTTGGGGAGCCCACAGTGACGTATTGCTCACTGAGTGGGCCTGTTCACCGAACAATGACCTTGACGCATACATTTCTAAAGTACTAAACTTGCTAATGTAACAATGACCGCTCGAGAAATTAACTTTAATTATTTCAGCCTCTTAATTAAATAATTAATCAATTCTGGCCTAAAATAATCAAAAATACCTGGTAACTCAACTTTTGTTTAACCAACGACGATTGATACTCCGGTCCAACTTGGCTGGCTCAGCTGCTTGGCGTCTTGTCGTCTCAACCCACGATGCTGGCCCCCGATCAGGGCTTGTCCAATTCCAAACACCATGATAAACTCCTCCGTAGTTGCTTCTCAATTACCAAGACTGCACTGTCTAATTTAAACTGGTCTTAAAAAAAGGTCACTGATTTACAAAAGGCAACAGGCCACTGGCTTCCAGAGGAAAAAGCCTCGATCATTTTCGTGCACGCTCTTTTATAACCCCGAACTCGGGCTCTCGAACTTTCCCATAGTTACACCCCACTTCGTTTTTCGGGGACAGTAGTAGGGACCTGTGATTTGCACGCCCGGTGACAAGTCGAAATTCTTGTCAAAAAAAATCGAATGGTAAGGGAAAGCCCTTACCTACCGTGCGTCAATTATTGGGGTCGAAAATGACCCCGGGAAGTTCGATTTTCCCTGTCACAAATTGTTTTAATGTATAATTATGATTTATAATTCACTTATTATTTGATTAAAAATAGTGTTAGCTAACATTTTTTCTGAATAATTATAAGTTGATGACTAAAAATTCTTTTTACTTTCAACTTTTAATATTTAATTTTATTTTTCCTAAAATTGACAAAGACTTTTTTTCTACATCTAATAATATTTGTATCCTTATAAAAATATTCAAATTTTCAATTCTAGATCAGCCAGTGAAAGATAAACAGATCTCAATAATTAAACAAGAATCTGATCTAATAACATCCCAGTCATCAGCGAGCTTGACTTCAAAATCAGTCTCCGATTTTGAAAATGAATTAACACCGCCTATTGTTCCTTAAATTAACGTGATGACACCAGAATTAAGTGCTGCATTAGATCGATCGAATGTTTCTTGTAGAAATGCCATGTACATTATTTCTGCGACTCTGCAAAGCGTTGGAGTTGACTTAACTAGTGTAAACATCAGTTACAAAACAATTCAACGTAGCCGAATAGCTTTGCGAAAAGAAATTGCGAAGGGGTTAAAAGATGAGTTAAAGTTTGAAGATAATTATATTGTGAACTGGGACGGGAAACTGTTGACAGACATCACGGGAACCGATACTGTAGATAGACTTCCAATCGTTCTGAAATCAGGTGGTGGTGAACAATTGTTGGGTGTGCCGAAGTTAAAATCAGGAACTGCCAATGATCAAGCAGTTGCTATTCTTGAAACTCTAGAGCAGTGGGGTCTTAGTTCATATGTCAAAGGGATGTGTTTTGATACAGCAGCTGTTAATACAGGTTAGTTATTTATGATATACAAGCTATTCATTTGAATCATCTATATTTTTCGATTATTCTATTCGTTTTCTAGGAATTTATCATGGGACTTGTGCTGAAATAGAAAGAGCTTTCAGTTGAGAGTTGATTCATTTACCTTGTCGTCACCACATCTTTGAACTCGTTTTGAAAGGTGTGTTTGAGGTATATTGGCCAACCTCATCAGGCCCAAACGTTCAATTCTTCTCTAGATTTAAAAATAAATGGAATGGCCTTAATAAATACAATTTCAAGGCTGGGATGGATGATAGTATCGTTAATGAAATATTGTCAAATAGCAAACAAGCGTTAATTAATTTGATTGAAGAAAATTTACAGGTATGAATTCATAAATTTGACTTCACAAAAATTATGCATGCCATATGTTCTTGATGAAGTTGTCAGATCATCCTCACTTTATAGGATAATTAAAATTAAATTTTTTCTAAATACTTAACAGGTCCGTCAACCGAGAGATGATTATAAAGAGTTGTTAGAGCTATCACTGATTTTTTTGGGTGAAAAGCCAAAAGATAGCTTTATTTTTAAAAATCCAGGTCCAATTCATCATGCTCGTTGGATGTCAAAAGCCATTTATTCGTTAAAAATATTTCTTTTTAGAGAAGAATTTAAATTAACTAGGCGAGAAATTGACGGTTTACGTCAAGTGTGTATTTTTCTAGTAAAAATATATTTAAAAGCTTGGTTTACTGCTCCATCTGCGATTTTGGCACCACACAATGATCTGATCTTCATGCAAGACTTGATTGAGTATAAAACTGTAGACAGTGACGTATCAAAAGCAGCTTGTTCAAAAATGATCAACCACCTGTGGTATTTGAGTGAACAGCTGGCAATTATTTCTCTGTTTGACGATAATGTGCCTCTACTCGTAAAGCAGAAAATGATTTTTTCTTTGGAAAAAAATCAAATAAGCACTGATCCGAAAAAGAAGCGATTTGAAATTGAGCAAGGAAATTTAGATACGTTGTTATCAGCAGACTTGAGTGATTTTATTTCAACAAAATCATTGACTATATTTCAAATTTTCGACTTATCTACTGATTTCATGGACAAAAATGTTGAATTTTGGACACAGGATGAGAGCTATCAAGAAAATCTGGCATTTTTTAAACGGCTCAGCGTTGTCAATGATGTAGCGGAAAGAGGAGTTGCATTAATAGAAGAGTATAACAAATGTCTGACCAAAAATGAAGACCAATTGCAATATTTATTGCAAGTAGTCAAAAATCACAGGCAAAAATTTTCAAATTGTAAGAAAAAAAATTCAGTTTGATTTTGAGATAAAAAATATATTATAATAAATATATAATATATTGATATAATAAAAATTATTTGAAATAATTAATTTTTTCGTCATTACTCAGGTAAAGTACAGTTCTGAGTTTTTTTTTAATTAGGTATGGAAATATCGATTTTTCTCCCGATCATCGATATTTTGTAAAAATTTTATTGTTTAATTGAAAAATACTCCATAAAATTTACGAAAACTAAGATATTTTATATTTTTGAGTCATTATTTTGTGATAAAGAATAAGAAATTGTAAAAGTTATCATAAATTATTTGAGGTTGGAGTTTAACCTCGAATAACTTTTAAACAAGTTAACTTAGCGAAAAATCATTTCAGACCTTTTTTGTAAATCGTTAAATTTCCTACAAGAATATCTATTTATTTTTACAAAACATTCATTCGTTCGAGTGCATCAAATATCCAAACAAAAAAAATAAAATTATGTTATTTAAATGGGAAATCAAAAAATATATAGGAGCTGTTCTATAGATAGATTGACTCATCATGATATCTCGGAAACCATCGGACCTAGAAACTTGAAATTTGGTAGGAATATTATTTTTGCCATGTAGAGGTCAGCTAAGAACGGGTTTTAAGAAATTCCGACCCCAAAAGCACCTGCAGGGGTGTTAAAAATGAAAAATTTCCGTTTTTAAACTATAGCTCCTATCGACTCCAAATTTGGTAGGAATCTTCTGTAAGAGATGTTGAAATAATCTATAAACGAATTTTACGATATCTCACCCCGACAGGAGGTTGCGGGGGTGGGTATTAACAATGAAAATTTTAAATTTCCAAACTGTAGCTCCTATAGGTTCTAAATTTGGTGAGAATCTGCTATATGTGAGGTAAGAATGATCTAAGAACGGATTTTATGACAACCTACTTCCAATATGGATTGCAGGGGTGGGTGTTAACAATGAAAATTTTTAATTTCCAAGCTATAGCTCCTACATGCTTAAAATTTCGTAGCTATCTTCTATATGTGATAAAGAAATAATTCATGAACAAATTTTACGATATCCCACCCCAAAAAGGATTGTGGGGGCGTTAACAATGAAAAATTCCCGATTTTGAACTATAAGCTCCAAATTGGTCAAGAATTTTCCGTGAGAGATGTAGAAATGATATACGAACGAATTTTACGATAGCCTACCTTACAGGGGTTTGGCGGGGGGGGGGGGGGGTAAATATTAAAATTTTTAATTTCCAAGCTATAGCTCCTATTCTCGCCAAATATGGTAGGAGTTTTCTCTTTTCTATATGTGACACAGAAATGAGCTAAGAGCAGATTTTACGACGAACCATCCCTAGTAAGGATCGCGGGGGTGGGTTAACAATAAAAAATCTTAATCTCTAAAATATAGCATCTGAAAGCTGTAAATTTGGTAGGGATCTTTTATTTCTTACGAGGAGATAATCTCAAGACGGAATTCAAAAAATTCTACTTCCTACAGGGATTGCGGAGGTAGGCGTGTTAAAATCCAAATTTTTAATTTCCAAACTGTAACTTCTACAGTCTCTAAATTTAGTAGAAATTTTGGTGAATAATGTGAAGTTCAGCTGATAATGGATTGTCTCGAATTCTAACCCCAAAAGGGATTGCGGGAGTGATAATAGTCAAATAATTCATATTCTTCAAATACAGTTCCTACAGATATAAAACTTGATAGAATCTTAAGAGACGAAAAATTACAGGGATGGCCTTGAAGGTCAACTGATTTAAATATTTTTTTCTAAATGTCAATTATTATTCATTTTTGGAAAATAGCCACTAGAATGATATAGTGATTGCACATTGAAAGTTACAATAATTTTTAGCTAGAATAATCACAGGAATAAAAGGTCAATCCGATGGAATTTGGAATCTGTGCAAGTCAAAACAATACTCCAATTAAATTTCAAGTTTAGATCTAAAAATACAATTCTATTCAATTCTAAATACAATTCTAAGTGCCCAGCGAAGCGGGCGGGTAACTGCTAGTAAAATGTATAAGTTTTATGAAGTTTCACAAGGACAAAAAAGCTTAATTTTATATTAATATTTATTTATGGCGTGGTTGTTACATTAAGAACATTAGATGCGCTTCGTAATAAACTGCCAGTTGAGAAATAATTAGCGTCACTTAATAGTAACTAAGTTTAAATTTACTCAAAATCATCGGTCAGTACACTAGAATGTGACTTTTTTTTGACAATCTCTCTCAATTCTGTCTGAGTGTACACGAAAAGTCCGTAAAAAAAAGGGGGAGACACTTCACGGCCTAGGCTGTTAAAAAATGACAGTATGGTAGAGTCTCTAGAAAAGAGTCCATTTAAGGATGCTACCCAGCGCTCAAAAGTTAAACTTTCGGAGCAAGTATGACAAAAAATAATTACTTATGCATAATTCAGTTACTGAAAAACATTAATGACTCAAAACTTAGCCAAACTTTTATTGTGTCATATCATTCTTACAGCATCAAAGCATATAACGGAAAAAATGATTTTCTTTGAATGTTTAGGTTAGGATGGTTTCTTAAGGTATATATTTCTTTTGCTGGCACTACTGAATATAATTTAAAATTACGAATGAAAATATTTTTTACAAATTAAGCTATTGATCAAATTCTATGTACTTGCACTTTCACGGAAGTTCGAGTAAAATATTTCAGCATTAACGAAAAATTATCTTTAGTAATAAACATTCATTTGTTACTTTTTATTTTCAGTGTATCAACCCCAACTATATTCGAAACGACGACTTCATTTATGACAGGTCAGAAGAATAATCATCAATCTTCAGATTATCCTCAAACTCATCTACCAGTTCCCACACCGCCAAAAACTAAGGAATTACCGAAAGTACCAACAATACACTCTGATGCTTCAAAAAATGCTGCTCTTATCATTGCTATAATAGCAGGAGCACTTATTGCTATTGTTTTGATAATATTACTGATTTTAAAGTTCAAAAATCGCCCAGAAAATAATTTTAAAATTGACAAGACCAAAATCTTTAATCATGATCCTAATTCTGCTCTTTTAAGTGCAACGAATAACGATCAACAATTTGACTGTGCTCCAAAACTTGAATCAAATATTAGCAAAAATGGAAGAAAACGAGAACTCAAAGATATCAAAGAATGGTACGTTTAACGTAACATTATATAAGAGTTTAACTTATATCAATTTTTACTCTTAGCTACAATTGTATAAAAAAAGATTATTAATAGCTCATTAAT